CGTAATTCCTGCGACCAAACAGAGAAAAACCTGAAGAAAAAGGACGAGAAAAAAGAAGAAGGAGAGAAAATAAAGAGAAGGATTCGGCAGAGAAAAAGAAGGAAGAGGACAAGGTAGAAAAGAAAAGAGTAGGAATGAGAAAAAGAAGCAAAGAGAAAGAAAAGTAAAAAAAAGGAATGTCGAATTAAAAAAGGAAAAAAAGAGATCTAAAAAATATATATTTTTTTTTTAATTAACAACTAATAAATTTTTATTTTACGTTGCGATGAGATTTTATAAATGTTACTTACGCTACTGCACGGACAGATGGATAAATAAAGGTAGAAATATGAACGAGAAAGAGAAAGAGAGGAAGAAAGGAACAAAAAGATGGGAGATATAGACAGAGAAAGATACAGAGTGGTACAGAGCGCATGACGCAGACGGAAGCTGGGGAAAACGGAAATAGAAATCTACATAAGATAGAAGGCGAGAGAGGTAGATGCGTTCTACAATGTCACCGGCAGAAGTCGGGCTGAATCGTACGTATGTACGTAGACTACGCCCTTGCCCAGGTATATCGAGAACAGAGAGCGGGCTGATCAACTTTGTGGTTGACGATGCATTTGCGGTTACTGAATATTGCATATTACAGTAAAATGTAATCGCTTTAAATAATTATGTTGAAATGCGCAATGCCATTACTAATGGATCATAAACTGTTATTTGCGCGATTTCAATTGAAGGATTTGGTGCAAAAACCGGTTTCTCGTTTTATTGAAAATGGATTTCCTCAACGCGAAGTATACAAATTACATATCGTTTAGCGCAATGATGAATATGAAAAAATTTATAATGAACCAATTTATAATGTGTGTTAATTGACAATGAAGATTTGATGTCTAAACCTAATCACTTTCTTAAGATGTTCTCAGATACACACACAATATATATTTTTCTATATTAAAAAAAATGACATTAAAGTTTTTAATTGGACGAAATTGAAATATAATTTTGGTAATAATTACTTTTTTTTTCTTTTTTCTTTTTTTTTCTTAGCATGTAATAAAAACATTTAAATTGATTACATTATTGTAAAACTTGTTTTATGGCAATGCATAGAATAATTTAAGAATATATATTAATCACAATTAACTATTATTCATTATTTTGTTTGATAATTTATTTATCGCTTTATACTCAGTACTTTATAGATCATCAGAGTTCAAATATAAGTCAATGAAAAAAATCTGATCTCAGAGTTAATAACGCGGGGTTTGTAGCGCAGGGTGGGTATTCGGTAATTCCGTTACTGGCTCAGTGAGGGTCGATGGCGTACACAACAGGGAGGGAGAGAGAGAAAGAGAGAGAGAAAGAGAGTGGCGTGTACGTACTAGAGGGGTTTACTGACTGCTGGTTTGCCTCACTCACGCCACTCCTACACCCCTGGGTCTCCTGAACTCTCAGGGGTAGACAGAAACATAGATAGACAGAAACAGAGAGAGAGAGAGAGAGAGAGAGAGAGAGAGAGAGGACGAATAGGAGGAGGGGACAAGGTGGATAAGAGGAATCAAGAGAGACACGATGAGTGCGACGGAGACACCAGGTATATGAGAGAGGAAAAGGGATGGGTGCAGTGGCGTAACTAATGACCTCGCAAACCCTGCGTCGTAATTCCTGCGACCAAACAGAGAAAAAAACCTGAAGAAAAAAGGACGAGAAAAAAGAAGAAGGAGAGAAAATAAAGAGAAGGATTCGGCAGAGAAAAAGAAGGAAGAGGACAAGGTAGAAAAGAAAAGAGTAGGAATGAGAAAAAGAAGCAAAGAGAAAGAAAAGTAAAAAAAAGGAATGTCGAATTAAAAAAGGAAAAAAAAAGAGATCTAAAAAAATATATATTTTTTTTTTAATTAACAACTAATAAATTTTTATTTTACGTTGCGATGAGATTTTATAAATGTTACTT